GCGATCACTATCACACTCAAGGGCTAAACGGAAGAAAAAATGGTGAAATTTAGTTCAAAAGCATAAAAGGAAAAAAAGAGGACAAAACTGTTCGGACATTTGCCTTGTCTTTTTCAATAATTCTCTCCTCTCCTCTTCTCCGATCTCGCAATCAAATTATTTCGGATTTTATTTATTTACGTGCGTTCATTGCAGCCACGACAAAAATAATTCAGCTAAAAGAGGAAGGTGAAATGAAGTAAAATTCTTCACAAATGAGCGAAAATTGTTAATGCTGCTTCTAATGAAGACATGGGATAAAGGAAATTTCTGTGTGACGGGTGAATGCCCAAAGATACACTGTAATTATTAAATTTTCAAAGTAAACTTTGTAAAATCAATAAAATAATGTTCCGACGTTGCTAACCTGATTCTTAGACGGTCTCCGTCGGGGAAGGGGATAGAGTGTGTGGCCGCAATCAACCTGGACCGGGTGAGTATCAGGCTATGACGTTTCCTTCTCAGAGAGAGAAAATGGTCTCTGTAGTTCCACTTCTCAAATTCTGGGCATCTTATTCACTGCGCATGCTTAAATCAACGCGAAGTAGAACTCGGCGGTACGCGGGTTCATATCCTTATAGGGTGATTCAAACTCAACCAGCGAGTTTCCACTCCGTGCTTGTAACATATAAACTAGGTTACGCCCAACTAGTATTCAGTAGGCACGGGTTGGAATACCCTCAAAGCCTGAATTCTCTTTTAAATTTTTTCCTTTTTTTTTTTTAGATTGCCTTTCTGCAATTGTTTAAAATTGAATTCCACTGGCTAGGATCATTGCTTTACTTGATTTTCACTCGCAGGTCAAGTGAAATTTATCTTAATAAAAATTATGAGAGCAAAGATTGCAATAAAATGATGTTTTACCTTCTGCAGAGATGAAATTGCTGACTGGTTGTGTGTTTTACCGTCCGTAAAGACAACAACAATGTTTTTAGCATCGGTTCGATCATTTTTGGTAATCTGTAGTGTATCGTACTCCTCATGTGCATCGAAAGCCTTTTTCAGTCCTTTCTCTAGATTAGTTATGTTGTCCAGTTCATCAGACATGTGGCCAATCAGCTGTTGAACCAGTTGCTGTCTTCCAGATCTTTTCTGAGAGAGCTTTAAATCTGACACGTATTCAGCATCTCTTCCAAATTCTATCAAGTCAAGTCGGGTCTTATAGGGTGAAACAAAGAACCTAAAAAATCAGTCAAATCCTTTTGTTAAAAGAAGAAATGCTATCCCCTCAAACTTAAAGTGACTTCGATCATCCAAAGGCTTTTGAGTGCGACAACGAACAAGTTACAAGTCCTTAATTTTTTGGATAAATAACTTCTTGAGAGCATTTTAAAATAGGGGCGAATGGTTCTGTTGGCCAATGATGAGTAATTTCATGCACCCGGTACGACAACTGGGCTCAGGTCAATTATTTAATCCGCATTTTATAGTAACAACATGTGCGCATGCCTGTCCATAACTTCTTTGGTTAAGTTCTTCATCTTCTCTGATAGTATCGGACCAATACTTTCGGTTTGATCGAGGAGGAAGATGACGTCCAACATTTCACACGGGAGACCGAGAGAGTGAGGTTGGTCTGTAAGGAAAAATGAACAATAAATCAAACTTTTCATTATTTATTGGGTGCGATTTTTATATAAGCTCTCTGAAAATTAGAGGAAATAACAACAGAGTTGGGCAAAAACACGGGAAAGCAAAGGCCGGAATGATGACAGTTTCCATAACTCCTTTTGGCTGATTCTCTTTAGTTTGATCTACTCTTTGTTCGTTTGTTTCAACAATTTTGTTTGTCGGTCAATTTTTCAAGTCTACCGCTACATGAGTACTTTCTTAAGTCCTCTCGCTACAGTTCAAGTTAATTCACTCTTACTTACTTATAGCTGCGCCTTGGACAACTGTCAATAACGCCATACAAAGCATTAGAGATAACCACGTGACCTTCATGTTTAAATTTCCCGTCTCCTGTAAAATAACAACATTTCGGTTTCGGATCGAATTTGACAAGCTGCTATTAGCAACACTCATCTGCAGTTTGTTTGATGTTCAACTTAAAAAGGTTTTTCATTTTTAGTTTTAGGATGGCCGTTCTATTCAGTTATCAGAAAATCGCCTAGTAACAACATATAACTACAGTGACAATTTAGTTTGAAACTTTGTATCGGTAAAACAAGGGAAAAATCAATAACCTGTTGAGGATTAAAAGGAATTGGTTTAGAGTAAAAATTCTAGGGCTTATTTAACAACTGGCCAGTTACAATCATGCATTCTCGTGATACCCAAACCTGGAATATCATTTAGAAGCTTGAATAGAACAAAATCAAGAGATTATATATTGTCCTCTTGCAAAAATGTATTCATTCGTCGCCGGTAACAAGAGATTATACACCCTTACCCGTAAAGAGTGGCATTTTTTCCAGTTACAGTCAGTTTAATAACAGCTGACTTTTGTTGGGTTGTTCAGTACCTGATCATACCTATTTATTACGCTTCAATAGTATATCAGGCGAGTTTGTTCAGACCGTGTTCTCATTTTTACCTTGTAATCCTTTCTCAAACAACAATGTTCGTGTTTTCCGCACCAATTCCATGTAAGTCAGTCGATCATGATTTCTATTTGTGAAGATGAAACTCAGTTCCCTAACGCTCGTAGTAACTTCTAGTGAACCTTTTTTTTTTCTTTGCTTTTCATGAGAGAAACCCTACTCCCCTATTGAAGGTGATGTTTGTAGTGATCTGAATATTACTTCTCGATAATCCTAAATAAAACACAAATTCCATTTTCCTCTGCCTTTCTTATGAGTCCTCTTATGAGATAGCCTTACAGCTCTTCGGCAAGTGTAATCCATTGTAGATTCCAGTGTCTCCAATTGATTATCAAGGATATCTGACTTGGCTGCCGAATTGCAAACTCCACTCTGGGAGCATGAGATATTTTAACTGAAAACTGTTCACTGTAAGCATTCTTACTCCGATCCCGCATGTAGAGACATAATGTCAGACCGCGGTTTGCCCCAAGAAGCAGCTTGCTTTTAATCGAGCTACGATTGGTAGAAGACCTTTTTCCGCTAAAAGCCTATATTTTTGGTTTCCTTACCCCCCCCCCTCCCCCTTAAATACTCCAACTATTCGGTATGGAGTTTAACATCCTTATCAGGCGGCTGTATTCAACATTGTTTGGGGTGGGAGAAGAGGAGATGGTGGATATCATTAGTATTTTTTAAAAAAATAAGCTTCAAAATGAAAATACTTTCTGTGGACCTTGAACGATATTTTCTCGGCTCGTTTAGTGCTTTTGCCGCTAATTTTTCTCTATATAGAGTTTGATGGGAAATAAAACGGCCATAACAACTCCTATCCACGTCACTGAACAGGTGATCGTGACTAACCTCAAACTTTAAAAGAAACTTAGGGTCTTTGAAACCAGCAACTTATCACCAAATTTCGTCTTCACTCAGCTGTGGTCTGGACGATATCAGCTCTAATTGTGTTTAAACGCTACATAGCTTTTCAGCTTGTTTGTATCTTGTTCATTCGACTGCATATCGTATTTTCGAAGGGGTGTAAAAAGCAGGCTATAAACTGCCGCCAAACGAGGTGCAAATTAATGACTACTTTGCTTTGAGCACCGGAGGTGCTATCAGCTCTTAAATAACCATAAGTTATTTGCCCTTTCCTTGTTGTTATTTTCATAAAAGTATACGAATGAACAGGCAAATAAACCGAAGAAAGGTCAAGCTCAAGACCAGCAGCCGGTTCTTTCGAGTCATCAGGAAACGGGATCTTCTAAGAAGAAATTTTTAATCAGTTGATCAATAATTAGCTTCAGAAGTAACTAAATAAAATAGTTAAAACTTCCTTACAACGACTATGCAATACAAATACCTTTCGTTCTTTTTGACACTGCTTAAATTAGTTACTTTGAATTACACCGGCCCGTCCAAAACTTACATCTTTTCAAGATAATCATCAGTACAAAAGGCGTAGAGAAGGGCACCCGTTCAATGTCTCTATTAAGTCAATTCAGTCTTTTGGTCCAGTGAGGATAATTATTTCATTTTCATGACTCATCCACTTCGCTAATAGCTGCAACTTGAACGCAGGTGGAAAAAGACATTTTCGTAGGATATGTACTGCTCTTATTTGGGTGTATTTTGGTGATGCTGAGCTGAGTAATAATGATTCAAACGGTGGACATTCTTTCCACTGCAAAGCAGTTCTTAATTTCCTCGACCTCAATAATTCTGCTTCAGGGGAAGATTTCACCGAGCCTCCATTTTTAAAGGATTTTTTTCGGACGGCTAGAGAAAGGAGGCGGCAAGTGTCAAGGAGTTCTCTGCAGTAAGTTCCTAACCGCAGTTAAAGAAATTTCATCCTAAAAGTTTCTTTTTCGTTAGGAACGAATCGACTTCCTATCTAATCGTTCGTGAAATATGCAAAAGGGGTTATATATGCATGCCACCTTCATTACTCTCCTTGAAATCACAGCACAATGACAACGACCTTAACAACAATAACAACTGACAACAACGACGAAGATAAGAGACAAAAATAAGCCGTTAAGAAGACCACAAATTTCCGTTGTAGAGCAAAAGCATATGACTCGACATAAACGTTCACAGGAATCTTTTAGAGACGCTATAGCAACCGATGAGCGCTGCATCAAAACAAGGAACACTTTTCTTTTCGGAAAGTGCATAGCGATTTGAAATGGTTTTTTCAATCATTATGATTTTAGGCGAGCGTAAAGTTACAAGGGAAGTCCGTAGCTCCTTATATAAAAAACGTACAAACACAAATGCACCGCGGAAAAATAACGCAAACTAAAGTCTTTTAAGCAGACCGCCTAACCCAAAATGTCACTGCTTACCTACCCCTCCCTACTCCAAACCATGGCTTACTGTTCCCATAGTGACCCCGCTGACCGTGTATATTGTTGGCTCTTGAAAAGAGGAACAACGCAAAATCCGCCAGATCTTCGATTGTGGTAGTTATTAAACCGTTTGCTGATTGTTTTAAGACCCAAGATGTCTCTTTTTGCTTGTACTAATTGTAACAGCCGCCATCCATTTGAACAACTTTCTAAAGGAGATCAACTTTGTAAGGTATGTTGTAATATTCATTATTGTTTCGCACGATGATTTTAGAACTGTCACCTCCGTTAGGTATTTAGTTAACGTATGGTAAATTCAATTAGTTTGTTGCTTCGCTTAAAGATTTAATTTCGACCTACATCTGTCTGTTAGTCACAGTGGAAAAAGGTCGATTCCTGCTGTCGTTTGTTGTGTAAACGATTGAAATTAGTTAAGCTGAGCTTTTTTCGAGGCAGATTAGAGTTCCGGGCATCAAGCGAGTAATGGTAAAGCTCTGTTAGATTAGTGATGTCAACATGATAGCCGGCTCTTAGCCAGTAGGGGAACGCGGAGTTATCAAGCCGATTCTTTAGGGGCTATTTTTTTCCAATTTCTCCAAACTTCGTCCTTGTAAAAATAAGTGTATGCCTGCAGGATGCTTTTTATTCAAAATCCTTTTCAATAAAAGTAAAATGAAGACCTGACTGGTTTGGTTTTCTACACAACGATTGTTAGGCAAGTGAGTTGTCATCACGTGATTCGGGGTAATTAGAGAAGAAACCCCTAAGTCAGCTGGTATTTTGACTGGTAATGTTCGCTGCTGAGACAGTATTGTCTCAGTAATAAATATTTGGCCAAGAAGTGAAGCTTCGAGGGCAAATGTGAAGATATAAATGATATGGACATTATTGGGTGACATACCAGCAAGCCAGAATGGGATTTATTTACAAGTATTTTATAACCCTCTCATTGAGTTGACAGCAAATTTTGTTGACTTTTTAATACTTCCTGCAGCAACATTTGAGATCAGCTTTTCTATGTCATCATCACTGGACTTGCAAAATGGGTTTAATTTCTTTTTTCTTTCATATAACATAATGTACAGCTTGACCTATATTAAACAGCACCCTTAAAAGCCATCACCCTGTATTAAGCATTTGGTTGTCAAAGTCCCAAAAATTTACCCATTAAGCACTGTAATTTTAACCTCTATCAAGTGGTTACTTTTATTGAGTGGTCATGGTTGATTGAGTCCCAACAGCACACTTTTATTGTCTTACACCTAAATTGAATGGTCACTTACAGCTGAGCTCCTCAAATGAAACTAAGAATAATCTCTCTTATCAAATTTTTTATCAAGTTTATCTTTGGAAACAATGTATGTGCTTTGAGTTTAAATGTGCTTACTGCACTGCAGATTATGTTTCTTTTTAAGGACTGTTTGGACAAACTGCTTTTCTTATCTTGTCAAGCTCTTACTATGTGATTGACTGTGGATGAAAAAGTTAAATTCTTGTGCTGGCTTTTATCAGCTGGCTTTGATTCTTTTTGAGGGAAATAATTTTAGGACAAATATTGATGTAGATGGTGGTGATGACTGTCCAGTAATTTTGCACCACATGTTGTTAAGCATCCACAAGAATCAGGCTAAAATTAGTGGGTGAGTCATAATTGATAATAGATCAGCAGAAGTTTATCAATCTGCATTGCAAATTTTGCTCAACTTTAATTTCAATTAAAGTTTGCTCTTTTAAGATTAGTTTATCTTCTTTTAGCCAAGCAAAGTATCTCCTATATCTTAAGCCACTATTGTAACCATTTCCATCTCTCTTCTTTCATTATTTCATAGGATTGCAGAAAGACATTTCCATTGGTAACTTGTACTTATTGCCGTTTAGAGTTTCATCTTCTCAGGTCAGTTCATGTCAATCAATCAAACAGTTGGTCAGTCACTCTGAGTCAGTCAGTCACAGAGTCAGACAGCGAGTCTTTGAATTAGACGATCAACCATCAGTCTGGTCAGTGTGTCAGCTAATTAGTCAATCAGTCATTTAGCCAGTAAATTAGTAGGTCAGCGAGTGAGTTGGTCAATAATTCAGTCAGCGAGTCAAACATTGAGTCAGTCAATCAATCAGTGAGTCATTGAGTTAGTCAATCATTGTGTTAGTCAGTGAGTAAGTCAATTGATAGCCAGTCTGTGAGTGAGTCAGTAGGTCAGTCAGCGAGTCAGTTAAAAGGCCAGTCAGTTAGTCCACAAGTTTGTCAGTCAGTGAGTTAGTCAGTTTGTCAGTATGCCAGTCAGTCTGTTGGTCAATCTCTTCATCAGTTTGTTGTGCACTGAATAAAATAATAGGCAGTTAAATAAGCTTCAAACTGATTACAAGTTATCCTTAAAACAATCTCAATTAACTTTGGAAATCTCCAAAAAAGGTAAATTTTACATGTACCTAATAACCCTTGAACCCCTAAGAGTGACTAGTATCTAATTTCTCCTTACAATATCACCCCCAAATCACACATTAAGGTAATGAGAATAAAGGAAATGGTCACCAACTAGAGAAGCTCAGGATTATGAAACAAATTCTCCTGATCAGCATCTTAGGGAATATATAGGGAGCAGTATGGAGAATATGCATACTGATGTTAGGGTAGAAAGGGTTAAGTTTATTGCCATTAAAAGCACTAGATACACAATTAGAATTTAGACATTTGTTTTAAGGTGTTTTGGTACT